TGCGTCTGATCAAAGGGGCAAAGGGAATCCGAACACTGCTGTTTGCTTTGATGATGTCCCTTCCTGCCTTGTTTAACATCGGCCTCCTGCTCTTCCTGGTCATGTTCATCTACGCCATCTTTGGAATGTCCAACTTTGCCTATGTTAAAAAGGAAGCTGGAATTGATGACATGTTCAACTTTGAAACCTTTGGCAATAGTATGATCTGCCTATTCCAAATTACCACCTCCGCTGGCTGGGATGGATTGCTGGCACCTATTCTCAACAGTTCACCACCTGATTGTGACCCTGACACAATTCATCCTGGAAGCTCAGTTAAGGGAGACTGTGGCAACCCATCTGTTGGGATTTTCTTCTTTGTCAGTTACATCATCATCTCATTCCTGGTTGTGGTGAACATGTACATCGCTGTCATCCTGGAGAACTTCAGTGTTGCTACTGAAGAAAGTGCAGAACCCCTGAGTGAGGATGACTTTGAGATGTTCTATGAGGTTTGGGAGAAGTTTGATCCAGATGCAACTCAGTTTATTGAGTTCTCCAAGCTCTCTGATTTTGCATCTGCCCTGGATCCTCCTCTACTTATAGCAAAACCAAATAAAGTCCAGCTCATTGCCATGGATCTGCCCATGGTCAGTGGTGACCGGATCCACTGCCTCGACATTTTATTTGCCTTTACAAAGCGTGTTTTGGGTGAGAGTGGAGAGATGGATGCACTTCGAATACAAATGGAGGATCGATTCATGGCCTCAAATCCCTCCAAAGTCTCTTATGAGCCCATAACGACCACTTTGAAACGCAAACAAGAGGAAGTGTCTGCTGCTATCATTCAGCGTAATTTTAGATGTTACCTTTTAAAGCAAAGATTAAAAAAGGTCTCAAGTAAGTATAACAAAGAAGCTATCAAAGGGAGGATTGACTTACCTATAAAAGAAGACATGATTATTGACAAATTAAATGGGAATTCCACCCCAGAAAAAACAGATGGAAGTTCTTCTACCACCTCTCCTCCTTCCTATGATAGTGTAACAAAGCCTGACAAAGAAAAGTTTGAGAAAGACAGACCAGAAAAAGAAAACAAAGGAAAAGAGCTCAGAGAAAATCAAAAGTAAAAAAGAAACAAAAAATTATCTTTGTGATCAATTGTTTACAGCCTATGAAGGTAAAGTATATGTGTCAACTGGACTCCCAGAGGAGATTTATGCCAAACTGACTGTTTTAACAAATACTAATGGTCAGTGCCTATAACAAGACAGTGGCCTCCTTGTCACTGCAACTCTGTGAGACAGGGTATCAACATTGACAAGAGGTTGCTGTTTTCATTACCAGCTGACACTGCTGAGGAGAAACTTAATGGCTACCTAGACTGTAGGGATAGTTGTGCAAAGTGATCATTATAACTACACCAAACACCTTTAGTACAATACTTGCATCCACTCTATTTTTAATTTCCATATCTGCCATTTTTTACAAAATTTGTTCTAGTGGATTTTCTTCAATCCTAATTCATCGTTTGTCTATGATACTATGTTATTATTTTTGTAAATGAGATTTATGTTGAGGAAGTGTATACAAACCCTATATTTCTACTCCACAGGTCTCTCAAAAAATCAGACAAAAGTGTTTTGCCTGAGCAATGAAATTTTTGCTCAAAACCAGAAAACAAAATTCTAATATCAATAGTTTCTGGTACTTCCATTTTCTGGACAGCTCTACTTTTGAAACTGTCTAAATCTGTTATGTTTGTTTATATCTGAACAGTTACGTGCCTGTAAAGTCTCCTCTAATTTTTAAAGGATTATTTTTATGCAAAGTATTCTGTTTCAGCAAGTGCAAATTTTATTCTAAGTTTCAGAGCTCTATATTTAATTTTGGTTAAATGCTTTTCAAAATGTAATTTAATAAATCTGTTCTAGAAAAGTATTTAAAGTATTGCTTTAGAATAGTTGTTCCATTTCTGCTGCGGTATTGCTTTGCCATTTTCTGCTCTTAGCAAAGCTGACATTTTATGTCTATTAAGCACCCTGTTATGTAAATATGTAGTTATTTTATCCTGTGGTGCATGTGTGGGCAATTATATATACATATGTAGATATGTACATATATATCTACATATGTACATATATATATATATATATATCCTGATAAACAACTTCTATTAAATCAAATATGTACCACAGTATATGTGTATTTTGCAAGCTTCCAACAGGGGTGTATCCTGTATCATTCATTAAACATAAATAGTTTTTGAAGGCTATCACTAATGCATGTTAATATTGCCTGTGCTGCTCTATTTTATTCAATCCATTCTTCTCAAGTCTTGATTAGAAGAAGTCATATGTTGGTGGTGGTCAACCAGCTGTCTGCTCTATCAAACAGACTAGTTTGAAGTTATCAAAACTACTTTTACTTTTGCATTTTTAATGCAACGTAACTGTCATATGGTGTCTCTCCAGATTTCAAGAAAATACATTGCATATTTACTGCCTATTATCAAAACCTATACTTCATATTTTGCTGAAAATATGTTTAAAACTTGTTTAAATATAAATAATGTAAAAACATAACCAATTTTATTTGTCAGCATTTTGTACATAAGAAAATTATTTTCAGGTTGATGACATGGCAATTAATTTTACTTTATGCTTTTGCTTTTTTTTTTGTAATCATAATTACAAACTTTTGAATCCATAAGAATTTTCAATGGATAATTTCCTATAATAAAAGTTAGACAATGGGTTTTGTGGATTTCTTTGTTTGAATATATTTTCTACCAATTCAATATGAGATAAATTTTCAAAAATTGAATCTAGATTTTCTACCAAGTATGGTGACATCAGATGTAACTCTTTATTCATGAAAGTTTTGGGTTTTGTTTTTTTTTTTAACTTAACTTTTGTAGCATTTGCTTATGCAAACTAGTCTTATTTTTTTAATTCCTGCTGCACTAAAGCTGTTACAGATATAATGTAGGCTCTTTAGACACTTATTAGCCATGAACAAAATGGCAGAGTCATGCAATTACTTAACATGATATAAAAATTTTTTGTTGTTTTTTGCACAAACCAAAAGTTTATATTGATTCCTTTTACAAAACTATTTACTTGTAGTGTATTGATGAACTGCATGCAGGGAATTGCTATTACTAAAAGGAATGGTGAGCTACTTCATTATTGAGCCAAAAGAATAAATACTTCATTTTTTATTGCATTTAATTTCTTAGCCTCTGTTTTTTTTTTTTTATTGTTGACAGTTTAAAAACATATATAATTAGTGAAACTTGTACTTGATATGACATTTGTATACATTAAAAGTTCACATGGATTTATAGCAACCTAATGCATGATAAACCAAAGGGTAATACTGAATAAAGACTAATTAAAAACAATTTTTGAACATTTGTTTATGCAAAGGATAAAGCCCACATCATCAAACTTTCAGAGGTCAATGTAATACGAGTAATAATAGTAACAACAAACAGTGGCTGTTAATTTCAATGAATTCTGACTTTGTAAATTATAATCTCTTCTCATTATAGTTGGCATTGTCCTCCTATTTCCTGGTGGCTAACAAATGTTATTATGTGTTATTATATAAGGAGTCCTAGGCATACATATGGAGTCCTGATGTTGCACTGTAAGGTAAGTACTTGACTATTAACCACAAGGTTTGTGGATCACACCTACCAGCCACTCCTGAGAAACCCTCTACCGGGTCACTATGAGTTAGAACTAACTCCAAGGCACTTCATAATAACAACAACTTACACATCTAAAGTATTAATGATATAGTGTTATTGTTAAATAACATTGAGTTGCTTCTGACTTACAGTGACCTTGTATTGGGTTTCCAAGGAGCAGCTGGTGCTTTGAACCACCAACCTGAGGTTAGCATTCCAGTGCTTATCCTAAAGCACCACAAAAGAACTCTATTCTATAAATTTAGGGAGCCTTTAATTTATGTTAGATCTAAACCAGACTATTCTTGGAAAACAAAATTTAAGATTAAGCATACTTTTAGACTACTTTGATCTAAATATACACTTCATTATATTCCCAAAATAAATTATATAAAGTGACTAATTAAAATTCATTTGCTTCTTTATAAGTAAGTTTTTAGAACAAGAAACCACAGAAGCTAAGTATTACCACTTGCAAACCACAGAAGCTAAGTATTACTCTTTATGCATCCTATTATATAATCATTAACTGAGCAGTGTAGCAATTTACATGTAGTATATCTAAATGATCATCTTCCAAAATAGTCAGAAGCTACTTTAGTCAAAAGGAGAGTATATTAAAATATATATCTTATTTTGTCAAAGGATATTCTAAAAATACTGTTTACAATATAGAGTTGCAAATATAATTTGATAAATATTTGAGGGAATAAGTATTGAAATATTTCAAGAAAGTGAGGCAGCATTGGAGGCACTCACTCCTCTATGCCAAGAAATTTGGAAGACAGCTACCTGGCCAACTGATTGGAAGAGATCTGTATTTGTGCCCATTCCAAAGAGAGGTGACCCAATGGAATGGAGAAATCACCGGACAATATCTTGGATATCCCATGCAAGTTAAGTTTTACTAAAGATAATACAGAAACAGCTACAAGCATACATTGACCGAGAACTTCCAGAGGTTCAAGCTGGATTCAGAAGAGTTCTTGGAACAAGAGATATCATTGCTGATGTATAATGGATCTTGGCTGAAAGCAGAGAATATCAGAAAGATGGTTACCTGTGCTTTATTTACTACACAAAGGCTTTCGATTGTGTGGATCATGACAAGCTATGGACAACATTGAAACTATGAGTATCACGGAATACTTAATTGTGCTTATGAGGAATCTGTACCTGGACCAAGAGGCAGTTGTTCGAATAGAACATGGGAACATGGAATGATTTAAAATTAAGAAACGTATGAGACAGGGTTGTATTCTTTCACCATACTTATTCAATCTATATGCTGAGCAAATAACCCGAGAATCTGGGTTATATGAAGAAAAACATGTCATCAGGATTGGGGGAAGACTCATTAACAACTTGCAGTATGCAGATGATACAACTTTGCTTGCTGAAAGTGAAGAGGACTTAAAATACTTATTGATGAAGATAAAAGACCACAGCTTTCAGTATGGATTGCATCTCAATATAAAGAAAACAAAAATCCTCACCACTGGAACCAATAAACAATTTTTCTTATCAATGGAGAAAAGACTGAAGTTGTTAAGGACTTCTTTCTTCTTGGATCAACCATCAACACTTATGGAAGCAGCAGCCAAGAAATCAAATGATGTATCGCATTAGGCAAATCTGCTGCACAAGACCTTTTTCAAGTGTCATAGAGCAAAGATGTCAGCTTGAGGACTAAGGTGTGCCTGACCTAAGCCATGGTATTTTCAATAACCTCATATGCATGCAAAAACTGGACAGTGACTAAGGAAGGCTGTAGAAGAATTGATGCATTCTTGAGTTATGGTGTTGGAGGAGAATATTGAAAGTGCCATGGGCTGCCAGCCAGAGTGCTCCTTGGAGGCCAGTATGGCGAAACTTTGTCTCTCATACTTTGGACATATTTTTAGGAGGGACCAGTCACTGGAGAAGGATATCATGTTTGGTAAGGTGGAGGGTCAGAGAAAAAGAGGAAGGCCCTCAGTGAGATGGATTGGCAAAGTGGCAGCATCAATGGGCTCAAGCATGGCAACAATTGTAAGGTTGGCACAGGACTAGGCAGTGTTTCGTTTTGTTGTGTATAGGGTCGCTATGAGTTGGTACCAACTCGATGGCACATAACAACAACAACATGAGTCAGAACCAACTCCATGGCACTTGAAAACAACAACAACAAAGAAAAACAGCATGTAAATCATTCCTGTGCATTTCAAGCCAGTTAGTAGTAATCATAAAGCAAATTTTTGCTGACCATTTTGGCGTATTTCAAAGAGCTGGCCCAAGAGTTCTAATACAAAGCTTTTAAATCTAGTTCTGACAACAAATTAGCTCTGTTATATTGGGTAAATCAACTTCTGGCTCCTCAGATTCCACCTCTATTTCCTGGGAATGTTGGATATAGGATATGGTCTCTGTTGTTGTTAGCATGGAATCGGTTCC